ATGCTTATGTAGAGAGGCGGAAAACCTGGTGGCATAGTGGTTAAGTGCTATGGCTGCTAACCCAAAGGTCGGCAGTTCAAATACACGAGGTGCTCCCTGGAAACTCTATGAGGCAGTTCCACTGTGTCCTATAGGGCCGCTATGAGTTGGAATTGACTCGATGGCAACCGGTTTGGTTTTTGGTTTTATGTAGAGAGGTAGGGAGGTAGGTCAGTCTGCCACAACTCATCTGGGACATTTGCCACCACTGTGAGTTAGACTAATGGTGTGTTGTCTTGGGCACTGCAGTTCATGGTACAGTTCATGGTGAGCAAAATGCTAAATGTTCCTCTTAGGTGCTCCCATAATAATACAGTAATACATGCTCTCCCTCTCTCTCGGTCCATTTACTGTATTTCCTTATGCATATTTGTGTATGTGCCTGGCACAGCATGGGCTATCATTAATGCTTCTTAAATGGACAGATAGATGTTGCCACCGTGGAAGGTGGTGGTGGCAGCTGGGGCAGTATTCATTACAACATGGCCAACAAGCCAGTCTCTCCAGCCTTCTTCAGAAGTGGCAAATCGAGTGCATAGAAGAACAAACACCTCAGTCAGCTAGGCTCTTTTAAGGAAAATATAACTCTTGATTAAAATGACCATGTTCAGTAAACTAAATTTCAGTGACTAATTATTACACAGCTTAACAAATGCCCAAGTGCAAATTAAGCACCCTCCTGACTAAACTCCCAATTTTTTTTGTTTTTTCTGTGCTAATGCAAGAGGAAACCAGCACTTATATTTGGGTGTAGAAACATTTTGCATGGCTCTCTGGAACTTGGTGTCTCTGAGGCATCATGGTGGCCAAGGAGGGAAAAACAACAAAACACTAGGAGCTTTAACCTTTTCTAGGACCAACAGTGTGACTTGGCCTCTGAAACATCTTATGCAGTCTTATGCTGCAGTAATAGAGATCTGGGGTCCCGGACAACTGGGGTCCCAGACAATGAAGGTACTAGTCCCACTGTATTCTGCATGAGCTAAGGCCTCATTTAGAGTGTTCCATTCTGTTAGGAACACTACATTTTAAAAGGACATTGACACACAAAAACACATTTAGAGAAAGGCTGATAGGTTGGTGAGGGATCCAGAAAAGGTGTTGTAAGAATGATTAAAGGAACTGAACAAGTTTGCTTTGGGAAGGGAAGGCTTGGGGAGGGTCTGAGAACAGTTTTCAAATATTTGAAGGGCTGTCATGTTGTAAGATGAATTAGATTTACTTGGTGCAGCTCCAAAGAACTGAGTCAGCGTCACGGTGGTTAGAAGGCAGTTTGAGACAGATTTGAGGCTCCACAGGAAGAACTTTCCAACAACTAGAGAGGTTTACAAATTGAATGTAAGGTAGTGAGCTCCCCGTTATTGGAAGAATTCTAGCTGACCACACGACCAAAGCAAGTTCTTGCCTGGGTGATCCCTGGCTCTCAAAGCATCTCTTCAGTGTGGCTGTACTGCCCATAAAGTGCACCCATGCTTCTTTTCCTGAAGGGCAGCTCACTTCTGTCCCTTGTGACTTCTCCGCTTAGATTCTGGGGCTGTTGAGAGAACTCACGGAAGCAGAAACACAGGGCAGGCCTTCCTTTGAATGGCCTTTTTCCAGTTGGTAAAGTGCTCCCCTGGTGCTTCTGACTTTCTTCTCCTACCTGGTGTCCTTTGTTTTGAATTCATTCTTTGGATAAAAGTGTCTCGGCGTCACACTGTTTAAGATTTTCCATTATCCACCCTACAAGTCCACTGGCATATTTAGAACCTGACCTTTTCCAAAGAGGTCAGAACTGTTTCCTCTGAACATCTCAGTGCAGCTTAAACAGAGCAGTGTTTCCTTCCTTCAACAAATACTTCTTCCATGTTTGCATTTTAAGCAGAAATGGAAATGTGTCCCACCACTCCATTGGGAGTCTTCTTCACCCCACCTCCTAGGCTCTGCCCCTTTCAGGCCCTGGATTAGGGTTCCAGGTAGGGTCGTGGGTTGGACAAGGGTGAGTTAGGACTAAGGACACACCGAGACCAAATGCTGCAGGCAGAGGGGTGGGAGGCCAGCACCCCCTACAAGGCCTGGAGCTGCTGCCATAGGCAGCTCTGCCAGAGGCCAGGCTGGGCCACCCTCCCAAGCCTCTTAGCCAAGGAGGTGCCGTCTGCTCCCTAGAAGCCACAGACATCGTATTTTCCTGGAAATCTGGCCTCTCCCTGCACCTTGGCCTTCTGCAAAGGCTCAGCTGTACCCAAAGTAGAGATTCCCATGCTCCTTTCCCTGCTTCCAGCCTGGTGGGGACTGACCTGCTTCTCCAGAGAGCACATCTGTCAGCCATCCCCACCCCGCATCTCTTTTCAAGGGTCTGGGTGTAGTCCTTCCCAATGAAGCACAGCTCCTGCCTCTCCTCTGAGCAATCCACCACTGCCTCTTGATACCCCTGCGGACTGCACCCAGAAAGGCCTACATGCTCCTCAGTCTGCTTGCCAAGCCTCTCGTCTCACCCATCAATTCCATCAGATCCTCAGCCTCATTCCCTCTGCTCTCTTGCAAAAGGGCCATGGCAGCTTCTCACGGCTATTGCCTTGTGTTTTCTTTCCCGGGCAGCTCTGTCCTTCCCTCCTTGAGCAGGCCTTTGACAGGACTTCAGTGAGGAGAGTAGGGTTAGTGATGTCGGCATTGTAGGGTTATTGGTGCCACTATCATGGTTTTCTTCTATCTGCTCCAACCTCCCTCTGACTTCCAGCACAGGCAGTCCTGTCCCTGAAGGCGGGGAGGTGAAGGGAGATATGAGGCCTGGCTGTGTTTGAGGAGGTGGGCGTCCTGGCAGACCTGCCTTATCTGTGAAGTCTTCCTGCTGGAGGCAGGCATGAATACACATGCAGAGTTGACTGAGGCCAGAGAGTTAAAGACCACCTTCCCCAATGTTCCTAGGATTGGAGTTCCCCTATGGCTGATGCAACCTCACCCACCCTTGCATCATAACAATGGCAGTAATAGTCATGACAGCAAACTACTTCTAAGTGTTTGGCTGCTAACCGAAAGGTTGGTGGTTCAAACGCACCCAGTCGCTCCCTGGGAGAAAGACCTGGCGATCTGCTCCTGTAAAGATTAAAACCAGTTGCCATCGAGTTGATTCCAACTCATAGTGACCCTATGGGACAGAGTAGAACTGCTCCATCGGGTTTCTAAGGTTGTAAATCTTTACGGAAGCTGACTGCCACATCTTTCTCCTGCGGAGCGGCTGGTTGGTTCTAACCACCAACCTTTTCGTTAGCAGCCGAGCACTCAGCCACTGCACCTCTAGGGCTCCTTAGTCCCGTAAAGAGTACAGCCTAGAAAATCGTATGAGGCAGTTCTACTCTGTCACATGGGGTTGCTATGAGTCAAAAATTGACTCGACAGCACCTAACAACAACAACACTACTTCTAATACTGGTTATTATTGTGAGCCTGCTGTGCTGAGCGCTTTACGTGTATTATCTTACTCAGTGAAACACCTGGTACATTATACACAGAGCCTCCCTCCTCCCAAGAGAATGTCCTACTGCCTTCTCACTAATATGTTGCATCCCTTACTTCAAAAACCCAAGTCCATGCTCGTTCTTTCAAGAAGCCACCAACTCGAGTTATTCTCTGTCCCCTTGGCACTCATGTACATGGGCAGACATTTAATTGATGATAGTACATGGTGAGTGTCCCCATCCCATGAGCACTCGCCAGGCACCAGGAGAATGTTCCTGTGGTCCCTGAGCACACCCTACCCCACCCATCCCCAGCACCCAGCCAAAGGGCCTGCAGACACTCAGGAACTCAGCCCTTCCTCAGGGGCTTAGAAAGAGCTGTGCAGTCACAGCAAACACCCACACAACCCTAGACCCGTCAGACTGCCCTGGCCTTGGAGGTCATCTCTTCCACCTCCCAGTAGAAGTGAGGCCCAGAGAGGGGAAGAGATTTGCTCTGGGTTACACAACTAGTTAGTGGCAGAACTGAGCCCAGAGTCCCGACCATCTAGGTGTTGAAAAAAGTGACAGCTGGAGAGAGAGAGACAAATCTCAGCAGCATGGGAGCCTCAAAGGGTCCCCTGGCCCTGCCTACCCCTCCCCAGGATCAGCCCATCAATTTCCCCTCCTGCCTGCACAGCCTTCCCCTCCCCCTCCTGCCAAGTTGCCAAAGGGTCCATTTAGCTGGAGACAGCGGGCGGACGGGTGGGCGGGCCAGCTCTGAGAGCACAGGGTGATTGCCTATAATAAAAGCTCCCACAGTCTTTGTTCCTAGGACCAATTGCATGGTTGGGGTTGTGCTCAGAGGGCTGTGTGCAGTTGGGAGCTGGTGCCCAGAGACCTCACCCTTCCTTCCTGCTGCCACAACTGGCCCAGCAGGGACTTAGCCCTCCAGGAGTCACTGTGACCCCAGCTGAGCTTACCGTTTCTCCTTCCCTGACCTCCTAGTTGCTTGGGCTGTGGGCATGCCCAAGGAGGCCAGTGTGCCCCCTGAGCTGCCAGGGATCTCTTCTCTGTGTGTATGCATATGGCTGCACATACATGCACATTCTGAGGACAGGGATCATGGCAGGACAAAGGTCTAAGGGCCTGGAGTTACCGAGGGATCCTTCTGCCCTCTGTGGATGATCCCTCTGTGGGTGATGAGTGTTCCTGGGAATGGGTAGAACGCCAGAGAGTGACTGGCATCAGGTATCCCCGTGCCCTCAGGGGCTCCCAGCCTGGCCCAACATTCCATAGTAGCCCTGCTGCCCACTAGAGTCCACACACCCGTCAGGGAGGGCTCAGCCAGAGGGGTGTAGGGCACTAGCATAGAGAAGAACCAAGCTCACAGAGGGTTCTTAGCCCCATGGAGAGGCGTTGAGGCCAGGACAACCTCAATCATGAGTGACCACCCCTTCTCTGTCCTACAGGCTGCAGGCAGACCAGGAGCCTGGCCCCCTTCCCCGGAGTAGCTGGGCCTTCCATGGCTCCTCCAGCCCCACTGGTGGGATTGAAGAGAGTTTCTCCTGCGTGGGTAAGTGCTCTGGGGGGAAAGACATCCTCCTCGGGATAGGGAGGCCACTGAACTAGAACTCTTCTCATTGCCCACATGGCCTCGGCCGAATGGGTCCAGCTCTTGACAATGAGACATCAACCTGTGAATTGCACGTTGAGTTTTTGCGATGCTTAACTCAACGCAAGGCTGGTTTGCCAAATCCAGGAGCAATTCAGGGTCAGGATAGGAAAAAGGCAAGCAGGTGCCGGGTTTATCAGGCTGTGGGAGTTACTGGGGTACTGACGAGGAGGTAGCATGCTGGGAAAGTGAGAGCCAAGAGCCAGGTTCCAAGCAAAGCTATGGTCGTAAATACCAGGACCTGGGAACCTTGGAGGCAGCCCAGAGCCATCTGGGTAACTCTGCCTGACAACAGCTTCCTCTCCCAGGACCACCTTCAACAGGCTACTCGCATGACAGTCATCTTCCCTGTGACAGTCTACAGTCGTGACCTAGCACTTGATGTGCTTAATGCTATTAACTGAACCTCAGAAACCAGAATGTGAGATTTACCAAAAGACCCCTGAAACTCAAATACAGTGATATTCCTTAAGGGCAGAGACATTGCCTTGTTCCCAGGTATCCTCAGTCCAGTCTCTGGTCCATTGAAGGTGTTCAGCTGGTATCTCTGAATGAAGGAATGAGTGAGTGAGGACCTGTATACCACAGGTCAAGTCCTAAGTGGGTCACATCCTCAGCACAGTTTAGGGATGTGTGTTGACTTCCTTGCAACATTAAAAAAAAAATCTAGAGGTAGCTGTGGTCCACACCAGAGGTACAAAATACTCCACACTGCAAAGAACCAGCTCTATCCTTTAGCAATAAGGAACACTTGCCCCAAGAAAGTCACCAGACTTGCTTTTGGCAAACTTGAGACTGTCCAAAGGATTTGTCTACTGCTTCATTGCAGTGTGCTGCTCCAGGGGCACAGCTGGGCTTGGAATGCAGCCTGATGCTGATGTCACTTTGACACTGATGGTGTGCCATTCCTGCCTGTTGCCTGCTGGGCAGGTGGTCCATGTCCCCCTCGACCTGGGAGCTGGGCCCTGGGCCCTGGGGAGCCCTCTCAGGGCCTGGTCTGCAGCCATGATCTGGGAGCCACCTTGACCCTACAAACAGTGCAGCAACCCTCGCTCGTCCATTTAAGCCTTGGTGGGGGCCTGGGGTGGAGACTGGGCGTTTTAACAAGCCATCTCCTCCCACAATAAGCATATACGCGGAGGAACCAGGGCATGGCAGGGCACAAAAGGAAACCAAACTTCACTGGCACTGAAAACCCATCCAAATTAGAATGCGGTAACCAGGAAACTATGCGGGGCTCTATTTTTACATTTGCAGTTTTGTTAGTGTAATGGCTTCCTTATGTGTATGCCATAATGTTTGAGCCTAATGATCTCCACCTAACGCGCACTCGTTCATAATTATTATCCGATGGGTTGGTGAGAGGACTTTCACTTTTTGCATCTCTACAGACTGGCTTTGGAGGAATCCCTCAGACATGTCAGCTGGAAGACCACCCTTACCAGCTCAATCTGAAAATGTCTGTAGATCACAGGTTGGGTTACCCTCTGGGGCACAGGGCCAGCAAACCTCTGGAGGTGGGTTTTGCATAGCAAGACGAGAAACACCAGCTTCCTCCAAGGCTCTTGGGAAGAGGAGCAAGGTTCACAGCGCTGCCTCTGAGCCAGTGCTAGCTTGTTGTCATGGTGATCAGTCTTTGCCAACCTCAACACTCAGCTCTTTGATGGGTAGGTGGGTGGGTCAAATGGGGAGAGAGATCTCGGATTTGCTTGTGCTTTGTGGGGGAGCCCTCACTCTTCTGAGCTTGAAGAACACAGAGAAGAGAGGAAACAACTGAAGGGTTCCATTTTATGCCCTGCGCCCTCATCTCCCCGAAATTCACTCAGGGCATGACATGACTCATTCATTCATTCATTGTTTCATTCAATAAGCCATCGGCGGATGCTTACCTTGTGCCAAACACTGTGCTTGACACTGGGGTAAAAGATGACTGAGACTTTGTCCTTCCATCAAGGAGTGTCCAGCCTGTGTACTCACTCAGGGAGCCTTGCCTGCAGAATTTGTTGGTATCCCAGTAACCTGTCCTTATAGGAGATGATGGGGCAGCCCAGACAGCCTGCCTCCCTTGCCAGGCCCCACAGCATGGAGAGGTCACTGGGTTTGTTCTCCCCACTTTGTAGAAGGAGAATGGGTGCCTTGGAGAATACCATATCATATATTTCTTTTATATCATTCACAGCACCCAGCACGGTTATTTCACAGTTATTGGTCACATTATTTCCATATCAGTTTGGGGACGACAGGAGACAGGCCCGCTTTTTTGAAGCTTGAATATCCTCCCTTCTTGTCTGTGGACTCATTTTGTTCCCATCACCTAGCACAGTGTTTGGTGAATGAGTGAACTGAGTGAGTGAGTGAGTGAGTGAGGAATCCGAAATAAGTGGCTGTGGAGCTCATCTATCCTTTGCGAGCCTGTTTCTTGCTCTGCTGGCTAAGGAGGAGCAACCAGTCTTTTCCTGCTTTCTGCCTGACGTGGTTGTCTCTGGTATCCAGGCTTACCACATCTGGGAAGGCAGGGTCCTTGAGGGGAGCAGGAGAAGGTCGAAGAACTTCCTCAGCCTTGCACTCCTTTCGTACTAATTCTCTCTGGGAATAGAGTCCCAGGAAGGCTGACTGGTGTCTGTACAGCAGGCAGAGAATTTCCGATGATGATTGCCACCAAGCAGGAGTTTTGGGGATGGTCTTCCTTTGTCCCAAAGACCATCCATCTTCTCCTGCTGCCTTTGCCCTGTGGCAAGTTCAGAAGTGCCTGAACCCATGTGTGTTTGCACATGTGCCCTGGCCCTCTCCTAGCCCACATGGCTGTGCTGGTCAGGGCCCAGCACACACTCCCCTTGGTGGATGTCAGCACAAAGCAGCACCCAGGCTGCCATCAGATCTTAATCTGGAAAGCCAAGGGCAGCCACGGCTGACATTAGCGTGCGCCCACATGTGTGAGGCCGTGTGCAGGAGGGCTGGGAAGGGTCACCCCGAGGTTTACACAGATTCTTTAATAACTTCACTTTGTGGCATGTTTGAGTGAGTGCTAAGTGGACACATAATGAAGGGATCTTGTCATCATAACATGTGTCACTGGGGAACAAGCCAGAGCCTCCTCCCTGCCTTGCTTCTCACTGGAGGGTTGAGATATATATAGTGTGGGAGGGACCATGCCAAGTGTGGCCTCATGCTGGGGTTGTTTTGCTTTTCATCCTCCTTTTCTCCCTTATTGAGCTGACTCCATCTTTAAGCTACAATCGAGTTTTTTTCATGTCTTGTAGATTTGGCAGCAGGGATAAAGTCTTCATTCGGGGAAAGCTGGCAAGCCTGGTCTGCCCACAGCTAGGGCAAGAGGGAGGGGTGGTAACTGCACTCTGGGAGACAAGTTTGTTCTGGGCCCTTAGTAAGCTCTAGTGCTTCCTGCCTGGTGCAAAAGGTTAAGCTCTGGACTACTAGCCGAAAGGTTGGTGGTTAGGACCCATCCAGAGGTACCTTGGAAGACAGGCCTGGCAATCTGCTACCGAAAGGTCACAGCCTTGAAAACCCTATGGAGCAGTTGTACTCTGCATGTGGGGTTGCCACGAGTCAGAATTGACTCGACAGCAACTATCAACAACAACAGGTAGGTTCCAGCTCAATGGTGCAAGCCCACCATGCCCTTCTGGGAGTTTCAGGCAAAATCCAAGTATCATAGGACTACAGATGACTTGGAATTGAAGAACATAGGAAGTTAAAGCTCTAATGAGCCTTATAAACCACCCAGATCTGACCTCATTTTGAATTGGGGAGAGATGAGGCTCAGAGAGGAGAAGTGGCTTGCTCAGGATTGCATGGTTAGTTAGCAGGAGAACTGAACCTTAGACCACTGCTTTCTGACTCCCCAAACACTAATATAACCAAATGGTAATAATGACTACCATTTATGGAGCACTTACTATGTGCAGGGCATGGTGCTCGGTGCTTTGCGTAAAGTCTTTCATGTCTGCCTTACACAACTTTGTGACATGGTATTGGTACTCTGTGTCATAGACCAGGAAACTCAGGCTCTGGGAGGTTATATAAAATAACTTGTCTGATAATATACTCCTAGGGGGCTGCACCAGGATTTGAACCTGGGCTTGTCAAAAAGTCATGCTCTTCTCATATTCCTCTCCTGGCTTCCTGTCCCTTGCTGGTAGTCACTGTGTTAATTGCATACTATTAAGGCTCAACTCGGTCTCTCTTAACCTCTGCCAAATGGTGGGAAGGAAACCAGGTCAGTGAACCACAGTCCCTGCCGGCATCTCCCCCCGCCTGGGCAGGCCCCAGGACGTCGCTGGCATCTCACTCCAAATCAGTGTCATTTCATGCTGAGTTCACACCACCATGTTCTCTGTCCTCTGGGGACTTCTGGGCTAAGATGAGCCTGATGCCCCAGCCATCCGTGGAGAGAGGACAAGCAGACAATTGACTAAAAAACACAGAACAAGGTCAGGGATGGACAGTATTAGCTCTTTTCTCAGGGCCCCAGTAGGGTCAGTGCCCTGTGGGCCAGAGGAGGCTTGGGAGAGTTCAGGGGTCTCTGGGAGTCCCGTTTGGGTAAACAGAGTAGCCGTCTGGGACCAAGCAGACTTCCAGGAGTGGGGGTGGGAGGTAATAATAATACTAGTAGGAGCAGCTGATTCTTACTGATTGTTTATTCTGAAGCAGGCATTGTCCTTGTTGTTGTTGTGTGCCGTCGAGTCGACTCCAACTCACAGCGACCCTATAGGACAGAGCAGCACTGCCCCATGGGGTTTCCTAGGCTGTGAATCTTTATGGGAGCAGATCACCAGGTCTTTTCTTCTGCAGAGCCAATGGTGGATTCAAACTGCTGACCTTTTGCCACCAGGGCTCCTGGAATTGTCATAAGCACCTTTAATCCTTCTAACAACCATACGAGG